TTTCGTTTTTATTATCATCATTATTATTTAAAGTTGGCATATTATCGTTTTATTCTTTCATTTATTCTCTCTTTCTCCCTCTAAGGCTTGTGTATTTCTGGCCCTTCCTTCTCGCTTCACATTCATCGTGATTTAGTTTCGTTTTAATGATCTTTATTCTTTAAATTTTGCATATCATCGTTTTATTCTTTCATTTATTCTCTCTTTCTCCTTCTAAGCATTGTGTATTTCCGGCCCTTCCCTCTCACTTCACATTCATCGCTCTCTTTTCTCACCCTACCTCTCCCACCCACCATTTACATACATAAGTACCTGCTATATAAATCTTACACACAAAATGTCTTTTATTTATTCATAGTATTTCTCCCATTCACGTGTTCAGGGTTGTGTTGAGGAATTCACAAGGAGCTTCGTGACGGGGGGTCTCACCTGCTCGACCTGCGTGTTGTTGGACGAATCTCGACCTAGTCTTTCATTCATAGAAGGTGTAAGTTGTGATTTGCTTTTGCCGAATCGGTGGATGTGAATGGCGTGGATTGTGGAGTGGAATTTGCTATGTTTTTTTCTGTTTATTTTCTATTTTCTTTGTTTTTTTTAGGATGATGCTTATATTAAACATACAGAGAAGGTTTTGAGGTCTTTATACTGCCACTCAATCTTTCCGTCGTCAATGTAGACTTTTAAAACTTGTCCAATTTCTTGTATAATGATATTCCTTTTCCTACAGGGACCAACTTCATTGAACTTATTCATGCTCACATCCGCGGAAAATTGCGAAGAACTTATAAACACATTACTTCAGCACACGAGAAAGGACGACGAAGACAAAGCCAATTTCATCTACAGTATTGTTTGCATAGCGGAATCAAACACCGATCAGCTGATGTCGGTGAGTCGATTAGTAGTAGTAAATGTTGTCGTTGCTGTTGTAGCAGTAGTATTTGTAATAGTAGTAGTAGTAGTAGTAGCAACAGTAGTAGTAGTAGCAACAGTAGTAGTAGTAGTTGCAACAGTAGTAGTAATATTAGCAACAGTAGCAGTAGTAATAGGTGTAGCAACAGTAGTAGTTGTAGTAGTAGTAGTAGGTGTAGCAACAGTAGTAGTAGTAGGTGTAGCAACAGTAGTAGTAGAGCAACAGTATTAGTTGTAGTAGTAGTAAGTAGTGTAGCAACAGTATTAGTTGTAGTAGTAGTAGGATTTTTTGCCAACTTATAAATCACGCAATATCCTCCTTTCCAGGCTGCACAGAGATTAAACGACGAACTGGGCGAAAAAGGAGGGACTAAGTGGCTGCCTCTCGCTTGCATCTCCAGCAGTGACCAAGAACACGAGGACCAGGAAGTGCTCTCCCCTCTCGAGTACACCACGAAAGTCTTGAATAAAGTGAAGAAGATGTAAGTATTAGGTCGACGTTAGAATCCACTTTGAAAGTAAGTAAGTCTTATTTGAGAAAAGGGGAGAGGGCTTTAGTTGAGAACTCGGTCTGCTTGTAGAGCCTTTGGGATGAATTTTCTTTGTAATTGTTGTTTTTATCTTTATTTATTTATTCGCAGTTCAAAGAAGTGTTGTGGTTCCTTCTAATTGTTGCTTTTATCTTTACTTATTCGCAGTTCAAAGAAGTGTTGTGGTACCTCCTGTGGCACCAAGAAATCCGTCGATATAGAAGACCTGGCAGCCTCCCTCTTACCAGCTATTACTCCTGTGAAAACATAACCCCACATGAGAAGGAGAGATGGGCGGTAGACACGAAAGGTTGTTGGTGGTGAAATTATCATGTTTGTTATCATTCTAGCCACCTCCACCACTGGCATTCTCGAAGTTGGTGTTAAATCGGTCGTATGATGATAAAGTTGGTTTGATTTTATTATATATGATTGTCATCAGCGTGTAGTAGTCAGTAAATGTCATTTCTCAAGTTTTTATAATGAAGATACGACAAAGCTGAACACTGCAATGCAATAAGAGAAAAAAGGAATACAATAAAGTAGTTTTTTTCCATTCATTGCTTTCCCCGTAGAATACATTCTAATAGGAAAAAAAATCAATGGTGCTTGGACAACTATCATAGTATCGTCGACCCTTTACTATGCTGTTTCTGTTTTGTGAAAGCATCATGGTACGTCGTCACTTTCACTCGAGGAAAGTACCACCTCGAAGATATTATTCCATACTGCTGTGATATTGCTTGCTGTCTCCCATGAGCTTAATGTGATAAAAAAAGGTAGTGAAGTCTCCTCTCTCGGCTGCTGAGGGTGTATCATTACATGACTTGGGCATATTGTGTATGTGTATGCGTATTTATTTTAAGACGACGAGTGTGGTTCTGCAGACGCGAAGACGGAGGACGTGGAATAGGAGATTTGAAACCGTGAGAAAAAGAGATAAGAGATTGAAAACGGAATCATTGGTGTATGCACAAGTATATATTGTATATATGGGACTCATCCTGCCTGCGGTGAGTTTTTCTTTTTTTGGTATAAAGAAACAACAGTGATCTGTA